CACACACACACACATAAAAAGGAGGAGAAATAAGGACGATATACGTTTGATACCATGACCGCCTAGGTTTGATAGGAAAGAAGGAGTATACCACACCAGAGTACCTGCCAACCACCCACATGGTAACAGTCTGGATTCTGGGTTTTTTTAAAACCCAGAAAAGTAAGCGTCTGTACTCTAGTAAAAGGTAAAGTTACAAGCTCTGTGTTCTGGTAAAAGCTAAAGTAACTGTCTATAAATAATAATTATAATAATAATAATAATAATAATAATAATAATAATAATAATAATAATAATAATAATAATAATAATCTAAAATAATAATAAATGACATCTATTTTGCGCTCAACAAGCTCTGATCGCTTTACAATACAATACAGCAGTAACATAAAACGTTGTGTTCTGACCTTAGCGTACTTTACGTAAAGAACGCATGGTTCGGACCAAAAGAAAATATTTCCGAATAGGCCTATTCATCTTACTAATTTAAAAACCGAAATGTCTAGTATTGCGTCTGTGGTGTAACGATTATAGCCAGTGCCCACTGCCAATCGGATTCAATCGAACTGAGTCGCGACCAGCGAGATTTTCTTCCATGGAAAGACAAAAGCTATAACTTTTGCACAATACAACCGAATTTAACTTATAAATTTAACGCGTTTGTTTTTCAAGATCGCGAGTAGAATCGGCCGTTTTTTTAAGTGGTCGATTTTAGCTCCATCCTGTAATATTATACAGTCGAACCTGTTTGAACGGAAACCGGTCATAACGGAATTTTCCCTTTTCACCCTTTCATAAAATCCTATTTTATAGGCCTAAGTAACGGAAACCTGTCTGACGCGAAAACGGATTGAGAAGTTTTTGCACTTCGGTTGCTGGGTTTTTTTTTTACCTGTCTAGGAAGGAAAATGCTTTGCCCACTCAGCCCTCGATAGAAGTAAAACCATCAAGTTTGGTTCTGTCGGCTCTAAACTTCACGCCATGTCGCCAGGCGATGAAGGGCAGGGGTGTACACCGTCTGTAGAGGTGCAATTTGGGGAAGATGCTGAAACGTTCTCGGTAGATGCCCATCATCATCATCAACAATTTATATAATATATTGTAAAGAGGCACCAATCATCCGTGTTGATCCCTGTCCAGGTGCTGTTATAGCCTTGGAGGTATATATAATGCTACTCGAGACGAGCTCATGTCAAACAAGCTCGTCTCGATGTTGCCCTTAGCGAACTTGAACTACAGATGTTACCCGAGACGTGTATCAGCCTTGGTATCAGCATGTCTCAATGTTACCCATCCGTATTATGAGCCCTTAGCGTGGTGGTGGGTATGAAATCTCACCAGTGCCTGTGAAAGTTCTCGAGTGGTGCTCATCACGGAAACTCTCATGGGTAGCCAGGGGCCATAGGTGTGAAATTAGTTTGACCAATGCCTGCCTAGCTAATCGTACAGCCAGCCGAAAAAATAGTTCTTCGAATCCTTGTTACTTGCACAGGAGAGATGTCATTGGTTGACTATGCTTATTACACCGATGGGTGGAGCTAAGGGTGGAAGCAAAGGAGATGGCAAATGTTCAAACGTTTCTGATTTTGATATGTCAAACAGTGGTCCTATGAAATGCAAGCACTGGTGGCAATGGATGGGACGAGTAGGACTGACGCATGCCATTATCATTTAGATGTGTGAAGTTTTGAACACTGCTTGCCGATCGGACAAGCGACCCTTTATCCCACCAGCTGGGCCCTTGACCCCCCCCCCCTTTTTTTCCACCCCATTAAATTCCCCTAATTCTCATAAGACAGAAAATGTCTAAGATGGAATTAATTTTTCTTCTGGCTCCCTTGCGATTTCGTTACTCATGTATATACATATGTGTGTATGTGTGTGTGTGTATGTGTGTGTTTGTAAGTGTGTATGTGCGTGTGAGTGTGTGTGTATGTGTGGGTGTGTGTGTTCGTTGGATGTACATTGTATTCATTTTGTAGGTAAGTTTATAGAACAAGGGAGAGTAAATTATAAGAGAAAGCTCCCTTACGTCAGACTAAGTCTTTAGTCTAGAGTAGAGAAACCTTACAACCCACTCCCCGCCCCCCATACGCCAAAAATTTCGTGGCTCATGGTGGGCTGCTTCCTAGCTGAAAAGTTAAGCTCTTGTTAGTAGTCCAGATGTTTATAAATCTATACCCCCCCCCCCAACTGGCTCGCAGTTCAGTCTTTGTTTTGTTTTTATTAAGAGTGCTACAGTATTTGTAACACAATTAGGTCATGTATGTACCGAAGATTAGAGCTATTACCAGAGGGTAACATACAACATAGAAGAAAGAGGAGAGATAAGGACGATGGATCATGTTTGATAGGAAAGAACCTGAGCAAAATACACCACAGCACCCGCCAACCACCCATAGTGTAATCTGGCGCTCATATGACCTTATGCAGTTGCGAGCGCCGTAAAACCTCTACCAAAACTAAAAATAACTGTGATGTCCAGGCAAAGAAAAAAATTTCGTAAAGAAGACGACCTCGGAAGCCACCACCCAAGGCATCGCCTACGACTTTGACTCCATCATGCACTACGGACCCTACCTGCACGCCAAAGACACATCCAAACTGACCCTAGCACCGAAACCGGGGAAAGCTGTTGGAGTGGAGATGGGCCAGCGACTGTACCTGTCAGACGCTGACGTCACAAGAATCCAGAAATATTATGGGTGTCCAATAGGTGAGTGTATGTTGTATTTCCCCCTTCCCCCAACTTCTGTTCCTCGCCCCCCCCCCTCTTCCGATCTCTCCCCCCTC